AGATTACATATTACCTACAGAGTTTATTAACGAATGAATGAAATGAATACGTACAGTTCAATGATATTTTAATCATTAATTAAAAATTCAAAAATCAATGTTTAAGTTTAAAAATATATATTTGAGCGTTTTTAAAATATTAAAACCACAGTCTATATGTTTTTTTAAGACTAAGTTTTTCAACAAGTAAAAATATGATGCAATAAAAATTAAAACATTTCCAAGAAATATTAAATATAATAGATATGTATATATTCAGTATTAGAGACGAGCACATATTTAATAAAATAACATTTTAAAATGATTCGTTTAAACAATAAATTAATTTAAAAATACACTCTTAAGGTTTTCTGTAAAAAACACTAATTCAATATTTGACAGATACGTACTCATTTCAGAATTAAATTAAATATTGGTAATGAATAATTTGAACCTCATATACATATAATGATATACATTTTTTTAAATAAAAATTGTTTCTCAGGATTATTTTTACAGCTATTTAGTTTTTACTTAATTAAATATATAAGTATGAAATTCAATATTTAATTAGTATAATAATAGTTAATGATAAGTATGTAAGTATTAAATCGAATTTATTTTAATAAAAATGAACAAATAACGTTCAATCAATAAAATGATTCTTGTATAAATAAATAAACACTTAAATAATAATTTATATTTTTACATTTATAAAATCTAATATCAGCAATTTCCTAACACTCCCATATTGTCTAGTACTATACACATGAAAACAATACAACTGAAGGCCAAATAAAATTACTAAAAAATTGCATATGATTTTGAATTCCCGTTTTTAGAAATTAGTAAAAAAATAACGATAATCAGTTTTAATTTATTAATGAATTAATGTTTCTATTATATTTAACTAGTATTTATATATATGACATGTATATGCTGTATTACGAGTACATGGTTGATGGTGATGAGTGACGATGGTGAATAGCATATTGGCTGTAGGTAAATCAAGACAGATAACTACATTAATAAAATATAAAAATACCTATGTGGCGAACTATGTACGGACGTATAAGCCTAATGTATTAAACTATATAAACATCGCAATATCAACTCCAATACAAAATTACTGAATATTTTCCATACTTCATTATTTTAGTTTTACAGTAATTGTTAACCGTTTTCTTTATGTAAACATTTATTCTTATAAAAAAAGTTTTTTATAAAAAAATGTATTTCTATTAAAAATATGGTCACCTTAGGTACACTCATATAATAATTGCTATGGGTTGCCAGATTTTGAAATCCCTAAACTGGGACGTCATATTGAATGACTTTTTTTATGTGACATTTATATGGAAATAAAAATAAGAATATAATTTACAAGTATACATTTTTATTGTACATAACCATGCCGATTAGATAACCATAAAATAATGATATAATATTATTCTATGTTTTATTATTAAATGATACAATATTAAATGTTATTTTCTCTCAGCTTCTATTTACCGGGATAAACTGAATGATAGGCCGGGGCATGCCTAGTTATGGGGAAGTACTGAACACACCCGTTTCCCCATTTATGTTGGTTCAAATTTCTCAAGTATAAGAATAGAAAATTTGTATAAAAAAAACAATTACAACCCATTAAAAAATGTACAATTTAATGCTAGAATTTTAATATTATTATATTGCTTAAATGTACGATATTATAATTCAATTCCCAACATGCTTAAGAATTTTATATTAACTATAAAAACTATAGTCTGCCAATAAATCTTTATAAAACGTTTATGGTTTTTAGATGTTATGGTTCATCAGTCACGTATAATATCAATATCCAAGATTCCGATTTTAAACAATTGAAATAATTTCATTTAACGAAAAAATAAAAAAATTAATATATATTGTGCATATAAAATAAATTATTGTAGGAAACAATATTATTGCTAGCAATGTGCTTTTGACCGACAAATAAATTAAATAATAATTCTTTTAAGTACTTAAAAAATTTAAAAATGTTTAATTCCCATAGGATAATGCAAAATAAACTATACCTAAATAATAGTTACAGAATACAATATCCGTGAAGATAATAATTAGCAGTAATAGTAACTTTATAAGCAACACGCTAACGGCATCGTGGTTTTGTAAATGCCCTTTGAAAAACAATTTCATACATTTGATATGCGCAGTTTTTAAACATTATTTTTGTGGTAACATGTACACAATTATTCAAGCAATTAGCTTTAATGATTAAATTTACCATCCTATAGGCAGAGTGTTATTAGTTAAAACTTATTATAAATGCGGCTTTTATTAGTAATCGTGCTCGAACATTTGAACTCTCTTATCAATAATAATGGTCTACGTTCGAAAATTACTGACGTCATCATTTTTTTCTATAATATAATTTAACCAATAGTTGTACAACGAACACAATGAATATGCATAAATTGTAAACTTTCTGAAAAGAAACCACAAGTTATTCTATTATAAATTGATCAAAATTACCGATTATTACACCGCATATTAATAATAATTATATTCCAAGCAATAAGTGGATTCCTGCGATTTACAAATTTATTTTCCACGGACATTCTCGTTGGTTGTTATTAATAATTGTAGCTCATTCAACATTTCATGGAAAATCCACACCAAAATAAACCACAATTTAGCTAGTCGTAATTGTAATGACATCGAATGTTTTCCAATAAATTTTAAGACATTTAAACTGTGTTTTGATCCATGGAACATTGGAAATTAAACTAAATTTTTGATTCCAAAAAATAAATTATTAATATTGTCAAAATTGTAAAATGGTATAACAGTTCAGCAAATCTTGATATTTAAAACAAATAATGAAAGAAAAACATTTATATCACGGCAACACAGACGGACACGTCTACATGTTTAAAATCTGCGGTTATTATACGAATAAATGTTAAAGTTATGGAATTTGCCCTCCAAACATTGTCAATAACGAATATGTTTTTATTAATATAATATAATATTATTTTTCCCCTTCTCACTGGAAACGACGGTCCGTGATCTTTGCACCGAGTCGTTGATAAGATGTGGTGGGCAACTGCACACTACCACCGACTGACAAGCATAGACGAGATCCAAATGAAAATAAATAAAAAAAATTCTCTTATCTCCGAAAGCCTATGTGAACTTTAACCGCATTTATCTCTGAGCTCGTTAAAAATCCATCGAATTGCTTCATCACGCAAGCAAACCAAACGAAAACCCATGAGAGCAGAATATTATTTATTCGACAAGAACATTTTACGATTAAAACGCACACAATTATTACGACCAACAAAATTAAAAAAAAAAAAAAAACTTGCCTTTGTCTTCGTCTCATAGCAGTGGCAGGCGGATAAAGATTCATAATAGAATTGTTGATGGGATAGTATGCGTACGCAAGGACCACAATATCACGCGGCAAAACCGAACGAGCAAAGTATACCTACTAAAACGACTTTTTGTTCAACAAAATACACGAACAAAATAGTACACGTAAATACGTTATTATTTTATCTTATCGGTGTGTGTGCAAGTAAATGTATGTCAGAGGATAAGGCTCTTTTTATTATTATTATTATTATTATTACTACTACAATGGGCGGCCCCAGACTGATACGACGAAACACAATATGGAAACGTCATGATTACGCACTATCAATTTCTCGATGATAATACACCAATGTGCTAGACCAAGATCAGTGGCAAAACGTTTTGTCACCTATCGACCGATCGGTCAGTCACCCAAGTTTCACTTGAACCTGGTCAGTGAACTTGACTCAGTAGAATTTTGAAGAAATTAACGCAGCAGAAGCCATTAAAGCAGGCATTCCCTCTAATGGCCAACCTTGACTTTGAAATCGGCCATATCGACTACTAATTGTTTAAACCTCGGGTATCACAAACATTTCATGTCTACCACCTAGTAAGATACCAACATTTTTTACGTTTTCTTGATGTTATTACAACAGTCCAAACAAATTGTCACTATTTGGCTAGATGAAATGTAATAATTAAACAATGCAAGCACAGTTTAAGGAAAGAAACGACGATTTCTGTTTTAGTTTAACATAGTACTATTTTATAAACTCAAATAATAAATATTATTCATTGGGTAATTGTAATAATATCAAGAGGCCGCTTTAGGGTAGATCATAATTAATTTTATACTATACGAGAAGAACATTTACTAACATACATAATATAGAATCAAGTAGAAAATATAAAATTAATATAATGATAAATATATTCAAGACCACGGGGTGTATATCAACTTTGAGCAACAATTCCCAAACAACACATAATCGTGTAGGTAAACTAACTTTAATATTAATTAAGTAAATTCCATTTACGTAGAAAATTTAAAATTCTAATGATTTTAAATCAGTAATTATTATACATCGATAATTTATATTAAACGGATATCCATTTCATCATAAAACTATAATTTTTCTGTAAATAACTAACTGCATTGAACCTAAATTAAGAGTTATTAATTTATTATTTATTCAAAGCTAATACATATTGAAACAATACATTTGATAATTGTTCTTTATTCCTAGATAAAATCAATAGTCCGTCAACTACCGACACGATTTTGAAAGTCCACATACTACACATAATTTCATAACGTCAAACGTCGAGCTATTAAACCCGTTCCATGGCACAATAATAAACGCAAATATTTCATGTATTAAATCATAATAATTATGATAGCTGGTAAGAATGGTAATTGAACTTATGTAACCGAAATAATTCAGACGTTAGCCATCACATGCCATTTAATACGCGCAATATCTTACGATACGAGTAACTTCATTAAGACCTTTATAAAAAATTCTACTACGGAGGAACTAAAATAGTATCGTTTACCACGAATAAAATTTGAAAATTAAAATAATCAAGGAGCCAACACGATGAACGTTGAACAAATTATTAGTCGAAAAATTGAAATACTAATCGTTGATGGAGTGATGATAATATCATACCGTTTGTGCACTTACCAAAAGCTCTCAAGTAAGTGGCGTTGTTATTATTGTTGGTCGGCATGTCGTTGTGGTCGCCGTCGTCGTCGTCGTCGTCGTCGTCGTCGTATCGTCCGTGCTCAGATAACGCCGGTCGAACACGGGAAGAGATAAGGCAGAAAAGCGCGTATTAAAAAAATAATAGTAATAATGATAATAATACTAATAATAGTAATAGTAATAATAATACTCTATAATTTAGTTATCGTTTTTACTATTATCGTACTTATTATCAAACGCGAGGAGTCTAATGGGTAAAAACTTTCGATAAAAACACGTCACAAGGTACCAGCGAAACGATCAGTGGCGTATGTGAATGCTCGTCGAGTTGTCGGCGGTCCTAGGAGCGCGGCGCGCGTTAACAAGCTGTGTCAGTCCGTCGACAGGAGTGAGAGAAGAGCGAGCAAAATCGCCGACGGGGGGTAAAATAAACAAAACGAAAAAAAAATATGTATCATTAAATTATTAATATTGCAGTTATTTTTGGAGAGAAGCGACCGGTTGACATTGTTCATACGATATTATGATAAATAACGATGTCTATGTTGCGTGTGTACAATACGGTATTCTGTGTTATTATTATTAATATACGAATGTTATACACGGAATACGATAAACCGCTGCGCGCGCTTACCACTACTGTCCGACGCGGAACCGTGACCTCCTCCGCCGCGACGCGACAACACTGATGGTGGGGATATAGCGAGAATGAGAGACCAGTCTCGGGTGGAGGACAGGGAGTGAAAGAGAGAGAGAGCGTGAGAGATTGATTGAGCGGGAGCGAGAGAAACTAGTACACGAGAGGGACTACTGGATGTGTCGTAGCGAGTGTGTGTGCGACTGTGTTGCGTCTAATTTTTTCGACTTTCCGAGGCGAAACCATGCGATCTAAGGTTGTCTTCCGTGCGTCGTGTTCGTGATTTTAATATCAACAACAGATTACGCGGTGTTTTCCACATGGTGCCGACCAACCCGAGTAAGCAATCGAACTCAACAACCGCCGTATTACGAACACTAATGCAATAGTTCTTAAAGCCTTTTTATACTCAGGGCCGTGGAGAGAAATCAAGGGCCCCAGAGACAAATTAATCCAGGCGCTTCTCACACGACGTATTAAACTTACCATTGCATCCAGCGTCTTCTTTTAAAATGTGTATATCAAAGAGATAATGTAATCGCAGTTATGATTATTCCACAGATTAAATGAAAATAATTATTTATAGCCCATGGGTCTTTCTTGAAAATGTTATTTGTCAACGTTTTAAATCAATATTGTAATATTCACTTTAATGTCGACTCGTTATACAGTGAATACGCTATAATTATTTGGGTAGGTTATTAGCACAATTCATCCATAATTAGCTCGACACCATGACCGAGACGTAGTGAACTTGGTCAGGCCCCGGGCCTTTTTTGAAGCCTGGTCCCCTTGGCTACAGCCCCATCTGCCCCTCTCGTCGGGCCTACTAATACTGCGTGCGTAGCACATACCGAAAAAATTACAAAAAAAACTCTCTCCCTCACTACTCATCAGTCATAACAAAGGTTTTTGGCATACCCACAAAGTATTTTTCGACCACTTTTCATTAGCAAACGCCGGGTGGGTAAATGGTGCGTGTGCGTACACAGAGCGAGGAAAATCGCGTGGAAAAAAGAACCGGTTTTTGGATCGCGACCGTGCGCTGTTCCGTGTGCAGCCACCACTCGGTCACCGTCAATCGACCGTGCCGCCGCCTCAATTATGTACTGCCCACTTTTACGTCGCCGGTCCATTCGCGTGCGCCGCCAGATCTACGACGCAGCCTCATCCTTCCGATATGTACCCACGACTGTGAGTTACGATAAATATTACCTAAGTTGCAATCGACTGTCTACAAGTAAATACGTGGCGTAAAATCTATAAAAAATGTTAGAATCTCTTTTTGTGTCTGATTACCAAAGTACAAGACACGCCAATTAATTGTACGAGATTAAAGTACAAATTGAACGTCTGTACTCATATAACTTTGAACTGTAGGTATACGTTTATTCAGAATTTTTTATATTTTTATTAGTTTTTTACCTAAAGTAGAGATGGAGCTTATTTAAGAATGAGGCGAATAGGAATATTTATGAGTTGTATATAAAGTGCAATAAAGACGACTTTCATTTGAGCAATTTAAATCCCAAAGTCAAAGTTAAATTACCTCCCCCCATATATCCGTTTGTGTAAGGAGGACACCAAATCATAAATCGATTTAATTGTTAAGGGACTGTAACGATCGATCACTAAATGTGACGTGTTGATAGTTAAAATTATTTTGAATTTTAAATCCAATTTTTTTATCATTTATGATATTAATTTTCTATAATTTTATTTTTTCGAAGTTATTTGTTTAGATATTATAATAAGCTATAACAAATATTCATAAAGCCTTGCTATGTATACCAAGTAACAAGAGTAATAAAAATAGTAAGGGTAGTAAGAAGTAATAAGGGCTCGGATTTTAAAGCATAATAAATAACAAAAAAAGTACAAAATTGTTTAAAAAAAGCAAAAATGAAGCATTAATATTTTTAAAAAAAACAAAAAAAAGCATGATAAAAAATTTACATAAATTAGTTATAATTTTATAAAATTGAATAAAAAAAATTGAAAAATTAATTTAAATTAAAAAAAAAATTTACTACCATGTATTTAGCAAGATTTTCAGAAGTTAAACTGACTCTATTGTCTGACAGTGTTCGAGCGCGGCGCGATGATTTCGGCATTCTCCCCGATGACGACGCTCCCGAAATAGGTCTCCCGTATGAGACGTAATTGTGTCGTGTGGAGTGGAGTCACTCTCAGTTCGGCGGACTGTGTAGAGCGTGAGCGCTCCGTCCACTGTCAAGTGACCAGGCGTTGCAGTCTTAAGTCAATTTTTTTTTGTATTTTTGTGTGTCGTCGCTGTGGACATACCAGAGTCGGCCTTTATTTTGCCAACGTTGCGTTGGACGTGGCGCACAGTTGCCGCCTTTCGATTTGTCACCGTCGAGTTGTCGCCGTTGGGATTTGTCATCGTCGGGATTTGTTGCCGTCGTCAAGGTCGTGTCTTTGTTAATACATTTAAACCTCCTGGTAGTTGGTGTAGCCCATACGGTGCCCCTTTTTTTCTTATATTTTTGCACTTATCTTGTGTATTATTATTATTATTATTATAATTAATATTATTATTGTAACCCCTGGGTGCCCGTTCCCCATACTTGTGTATTTAAAATAATTATTATTTAATAGTAAGACGGTGCTATTCGGCAAGTCATATACCAGAAAAAATAACCGCATTATTTTTTATTATTTGTCACTATGCCAAAGTCACCCTTTCCCAACCCGACGCCAGTCGTTGCCGCCGACCGCAAACACACAGGAGCGGCTTCGACGGAGAACAGACAGGATGTTTTTATACATAGAAAATGACCGCTCTATATCTACCGAAGTGATCGGTGCATACATCGATATCGATGTTATACGATTAGTGAGTACTAAGAGCAGTTTCTACAGGCTATATGCAATAGCCGATAAGCTATCGACTTCTAAGCTGTGTCTGTAGATCGATAATCTATACGTTTATGGTCGTTCCACACTAATAGTACGGTCAGCAATATATGAAACCCTAGACGTCACAGTGCGGGTTTAAAATACGACGCTCTTATTGGTCGATTTCAAATTTCCGCGCTTTTATATATGAATTATTACTGATTATCTATATTTTAATTATATTATTATTATGTTTAACTATGTGATAATTATCGCTTATTCATCATGTTAATATCATTGTTATTATTGATTCTCACTTAATAATTATATTGAGAAAAAAATGTTACTTTTTTATTTTTTTAAATAATATCTGTACATCAAGTCATCAAATATGAATCTTAAAAATATCATAGATAAAATAAGTAAAAGCGAATTGCATTGCGAATTAGATATTATTAAGAATGATGTCGAAGTGATACATTGTAATTTAAATACTGAAGATGATGTTGACATATTTTTTGCTTTATTCAAAGAAAAAAGTGCCACTAATTGGATTGTTCAGGGACAATTTAATAATGCAGTGAGATGTGTAAAATATATAATTAAGTATATTTATAACTACTAATATTTATTATTACTATTTTTAATATTTAGACATTCTTAATGATATTTTGAATGTCAAATTTTAAGATGTAGAAATTACTTGTTAGTAATATCACTGAATATTATAAATAATAATGATTAAAATAATATAAAATTTGTGTTAATATCAAATAGGATCGGTAATAGTAATTTTAATATTATCTATATGAAATGAAAAACAAATAGGACAGGTATTTAAATTATTTTATAATAATTGTATCTAAGTTCTAACTATTATATACTGAAATTGTAAGTTGTACCTAGTAAGCATTATTAACTATTAACAAAAATGAACAATATTGCAACAAATTAATCAAAACAATTAGGACATTTTTTTAAGAAACCCTAAGTTCACATTACCCTCATTTAAGAGTGTTACAAATATTAATTATTCAGTTATTGAAAATTTAAAATTAAATTATCATCTTAAAAATATCATAGATGAAATAAATAAGAACAATTGTCCAAAATAATGCCAGAATATTGTATATTTATTTTGTGATTTACATAATATCAACATTATTTTACATGACCTCTTAAAATTATACCTACATTATCTTCAAGATTTACTTTGATTGGTAAACATAATCATGACATCAAAACCAGTGGCAGTTACAATTTTTAGAATAAATTCAGGTATGATATTTTTAAGATGCATATTTGATGACTTATTTATATGAATTATTATTATTGTGCTATCATCATAGATGAAATAAATAAGAAAAATTAAAGTAAATTAAATAATATTTGTATTGATATACAAATAATAGCACAATAATAATAATTCATATATAAAAGCGCGGCAATTTGAAATCGACCAATAAGAGCGTCATATTTTAAACCCGCACTGTGACATCTAGGGTTTCTTATATCGCGTTCAGTCACGGTCCGGCGATGGGTAAAATATAATATCTATATTTATATTAATTTTATAATTATTATTGCGGGTTTTCACATTTCTTATAAATTATTTAAACATTTTTTTCATTACTATAGCATAACAAAAAAATAAAAATTCCACAGCTAGAATAACTGAATAAAGCAATAAAAAAGCAAAAAAGCATTTATACTAAAAAAAGCAAAAAAAAGCAAAAATAAATTCGTTTATTTCAAATCAGATTAACGTGAAACGAATTTATGTATAAAAATTAGATTTCTATCTTAAATATATAAAAAGAAGCATTTGCTTTAAAATCCAAGCCCTACACTTGACTATAGTCAGCGGCGGATTGGTTAAATCCATCATCCAATAATAATAATTTTCCATAAAAGTTTCATTTATTCATGGATTAATTGCTCGTAGAACTGTTTACATCACGTTTACACTAGGTTTTTGTCACAGTTTCACAATTAAATACAATTTACTTAAATAAATTATTTTTAATACAAGTACATCGACCCAGTGTTATAATATGATTACCGACCCACCGGGGACTTCCCGGTATCCCGGCGGGCCAATCCGCTCCGGACTATAGTGTATGATTAATATAATAGTAATTACTTGTAAGTTTCATCAGTTTGTATTTTACATTTGTTTTTGCATTAAACATCTCATACTGACTTTTTCTGTACTCTTAAAAAATTATAAAATGTATTAATAAATACAATTGTTATATTAAGTAAGTAATATTTATTAAACTTAAGTTAATAGGTTAGGTTATAGGTTTATGGGTAACTATAAACAAAAAAAAGTTATTTTTTATAAACACTATTCAATTAAAATTAACATAGCATCTTGATATCTATAATTAATCCTAATTGTAAACATTAACAATCGGCTGAACAAATATATTTTATTTATTTAAAAATTATATTATAATATGATCAATGTCATCATTTCATTATTTACAACGGCGCAAATTAACTCACATAAATTTATGAATTGTGGAGTTTTGGCATAATTTAAAATTGAAATTTGTTTGGTGCTTAGATTCTTAGAGAACAGAGATTATTTCAATTTTTTGGAAATGTTTGTGTACTAGTTCAAAACGACTCATTAATCAATAAATTTCATTATAGACGTAACACATTTATTTTAATAAGTTGGAGATGAAGGTCCATATGAGCACATACTATTTTTAACG